AATGTGGTGCCTACACCCACATGATGGGTGGATAGGACCAACCCTCACACCTACCAACAGCACCATAAACCAGCCAACAACAAACAAATAAAAGAAGCATTTCTTCATTTTAACTGATTTTTTGTATACACTTTTTTGTAGTGTTTAGATGAAATGTTTTATAAATAAGTCTTAAATTCTTTTGATCTGTCTTGCCATTTAATTTAGTAGTGTTTTCTTTTATTTACTTTTGTCAGAAAGCTGTGTGTTGGTGAAATGAGGTACGGAAGTCAAACACTATTGTGTTACCGATACACTGACTGAACATCTAGTCGTATTTATTTTATGGAATTGGATGCACCTGTGTCCCTGGCTAGCTTTGGTTTGAAGTCTCTATTTGTCAAGTATTAGAACAATGACACCTACTTTTTTTCTAGGTCCATTTAATTACAATCGTTCCCTTGCCAGGAGCTGCAGAGATTGGCTTCCACAACGCATCGCTTCCTACTCAGCCATCTCACTGCTGTAGCACGTGGTGTTTAAAATGCAGTAGATGTCAGGAATATAGAAAGAATACATATCCATAGAAAATCACCATCGGAAATAGAAGTGTTACAAACAATCTGGTTTAATAGCCATTTCCCTTATCAATCATGTGATTTAACATAACAGAGAAATCCCACATTGTTAATTCCATGGGTAACCACAGCTAGGCGGTGGCGGTACACGCCTTTAATCCCAGCACTCAGGACAGAGGCAGGCAGATTTCTGTGAGTTCGAGACCAGCCTGGTCCACAAGAGCTAGTTCCAGGATAGTCACCAAAACTACACAGAGAAATCCTATCTCAAAAAAAAAAAAAAAAAAAGAAGAAGTACGTCAGCCCAGGATATTTTTTGTGGTTAAAAGCTCACCCCAAGAAAGGCTCAGGGCTACACCGGGACTGCAAGCACCCAGTGCAGTCACTGGCTAGCTAAGAAAAATTTTATATTGGCTTAAACCTGTGTCTGAGTAGCCCTCTCTGGGTGATACCCCAGACAATTCATGTTTTATTTCCAGCACGAGATGGGTTTTTCTTCATTCTTTCTATCTCTTCATTGAATTCCCCTTTCACACCTTCCATTACCTCCCTTATTTCAGTCACCCTTTGGTTCGTGGTCTGGATCAGGAATTTAGTTCCTTCTTTGATTTCCTTGCACATACTTATAGTCATTCTTTTACGTTCTCCAAGATTTCATCTTTCTCTCACTGGAAGTCATGACAGTAAGATTAGCAGATGTTGGAGGCACTGTTTTTCTCTGTGTTCTGTCTGTGTTTCTTATGTATTATGACACCAGGACTTACACATATTTATTTTTGTTTGTTTTCTTTTCTTTTCTTCTAGCTACATTCTTTCAGTTGAACCATTCACAATGTTCACATGGGACTTGGCTGTTCTAGAATTGAGCTGGCTTAGTTCAGAAAAGTTTCTCCGTCCAGGTGCTCAGGGTGTCCTGAGAATATTAGCTGTGGGAGCAATCACTACTGGCTGGATAGTCCCACCACGCGAGTATCCTACTAGCCAATTAATAGTTACCATTTGACTTCAGTAAATGCTTGTTGAGAGCCAGACCGATGCAAGGCTTTCTCAGAACGCCTGATGAGAGAACAAAGAAAAAGGTGGTTCTGTGTCCTTTTCCAAGACCAGAACTAGGCTGGGACTGGATCCAGGGCCTTGAAGGAGTCAAGGTTGTGGTTTTTGGAGACCCGATTCTTCCCTCTGGTTATCAGTCCTATGGCAGCTGTGTCCCAGGCATCCTGTGTTCTCTTTGCCAACATGGATTTAGCTCTCTGGCGGCCTTGGACATTTTCCTCCTGCAAACAGTATGTAAAGAACTATGCTGCTTATTAATCCTGCTCAAGAGAAGTCATCAGCTTGTGCAAAACCTGCCAGTCCCAGCTTCTCTTTGTTGTCTTTATTTTTCATCCCTAGTTCTCCCCCTTGACACATTGCCATTAAGGACCCTTGTTCCTGAAGGCGTGGGTCGATGCTGGAGGACAAAAGGCAGGCATCGTGGTGTGTACTCAGACTCTCGTCACTAAGGTCGTATGTGGGAGAGAAGTGAGGTGGATGAGAGTAAGGATAAGAAGAGGATGGTGTTTACCAAAGAAAAAAGAGGACAGAAAAGTATCTGGGAAAAGAATGCAGGGATGTTGTTGGTACCCACGGGCTTTAAGACAGTGGAAAGTTATAATTTGGAAATTAAAAGAAGAGGGACTAAGGATAAGATAAGGGAAACACAGGAAGAAAGGAAGTATATGAGGCGTGGGCAAAAATATAGTAGAGAGTGTCTTATCGTGGGCTGTTTGAAGACACACGTAGCAGTCCTCAAGCCTAACTGAGCAATATACAGACAAAAGAGAAACCATCACGGACATGTGCAAGAGTACGGATTAAAGAACAGAAAATAAGAAATTCAAAGAATATTTATGGAAGTGATTGATGGTATAGATGTAGTGAGTTCAAAGGGAGAAATTTTAGATCCTTGTAGCTCTGAAGGGATATTCTTGGTTCTGCGTGGAGGAGGGGGAATGGAAGTCACGGGTCTCTACAGTCTCCCTGTGTTCTGGGTAGTTCTGGCATGTGGAGAAGAGAGGGAACAAGTGCTTTTCTGGCATTTCCTTTGGACTCCATCACCCCATCTCACCCGCTTCTGATCCTGCAGGTCTGGTGTCTGCAAGGAACAGCAATTACCATGCAATTTCTGTTGTTCTTCTCTGGATTCACCTGGTGCATGGTGCCATTCAAGAAGACTGCAGTCTGGAGATGTTCATTGCTCCCATCTGTTTCCCTGTAGGAATCTTGCCTGGCTTAATACATCCATTGTCTCTTGCAAGCAAAAGAACTTACTGTGTATTACTTAGTGTCAGTGACGTGGCTTCTGATCGGTCTTCTTACCCAGATGGCTGATCCTACTTTTGCTAGATCTTAAAACATAGTCCCCTCCACCACCTTTGGATAAGTAATCACATAAAAACTGCAACCGATCCCTAAGCATCACCTTCTCTGCCTTTCCTAAGATCGTGAAATGAGGAAGCACCAAGCAAGAGTGTGTGTGCTCATAAGCGCATCCGTCCATACGTAGTACATCATTTTGCTTCTCGAATGCACAACTCTCATTTTGCCTCCTGAAATGAAGACCCTTTGCATTCTTTAATGCATGAACCTACAGACTATGGGCCAGGAGGTTGCTGCTTAGTTGAATGAGTGCCTTTTATGTCCTCTCTAACACCTTCTATAATTTTGAGCATTGCTGTTCCTCTTTTGAAAATGGGCAAACCAAGGCTTAGTAATCACATGGTACCCACTAGCCTTAATGCACCTCCTGTGATTGCAGCAAGGACGGTCTCTCATGAGTCCCTGGGGGTGGGGGTGTTATTCTGAGACTTGAGCGGGAGTCTCCCTACACCGGGGGTCTTTCACACTGGGGTCTTTATTGAGTCTAAATGAGAGAATTACAACCTTCTTCTGGTCTGATGTGTTCAATAAATTCTCAGGCCTAGTTTTTTTTTTAAGATTTATTAATTATATATGCAGTATTCTGGAATCGAGGGTACCAGATCTCATTACAGATGGTTGTAAACCACCTTGTAGTTGCTGGGAATTGAACTCAGGACCTTTGGAAGAGCAGCCTGTGCTCTTAACCTCTGAGCCATCTCTCCAGCCCATGGCCTAGTTTTCTTAATGCAACCATATGTTCTACACTACCAGTTCACCCTGATGTTTATAGGGTGGTATCCTCCCTATTCCCAGGAATAAGTCGTTGATCAATTTATACCATGTGGTTGCTGCCGGACATAAAGTGGCATTCATAGGGCCACTTGGGGGCAGACCTATTCTCTGTCCTCAAAATGGATGAAGTCAAAGGGGACAGAGAGATGGCTCAGTGCATCAATGTACTTGCCACCAAACGTGATAACCTGAGTACCATTCTCAGGATCCACATGGTGGGAAGAGAAGCAGCTTGTCCTCTGACTCCTATACACATGCATCCGTACACAGACACACAGAGACTCACAGAGACAACAGACAACCACACACAAACATGTAGGCGCAGGCACGCACGCGCATACACACACACACACACAGAAATAATAAATAAATGTGATTTTTTTTTTAAAGTCAAAGTATAGAGTCAAAGGCTACTTGTGCAATCAAGCCTGTCACATGAGGCACCGTCTGAAGAACTGCTACTTCACAGACATGCAGCAATTCAGAGCAGCACACAGCCCGATGTCAACACACAAGCGGAAGACTCCCACGTCTGCATGAGCTCTTGGTCTGGACACAGCCTTCGAGTCTGAAAGCCAGAGAATCCAACTACTTTTTCCTTGAAAATCACTTCAGGCCCCACCTTCTGTGTCTCTCTGTTAACACTCTAATTTTGTATGTGAAAAAAAAAATGGTTCCAGGCAAAGAAAGGAGGAAGGAATAGAAACACCTCTTCTTAGAATTTAGAACACTGTGTGAAAAGAACAGTCACAGAGGGGCCCAGGACAGCAGGGCTCTGTTTGCCGCACATAGAGGGGCCCACCAAGGGAAGGCCGTTTGCCCCTGCTATGGCACGGTTATAGTTTATAGGTTCATTTTTTTCTCTCTTTAGTTTCTGAATCTGTTTTATTACAGTATCTCCTGAGGCTGTTATTAGGGAAAATTAAATAATGCCGTTCACTGTGCTTACGGAGCCACGTCTTGGATGCTCAGAGCACTCAATAAACCTTATGATCACCATTCTCCTTTATGTCCAGATGTGTCTCGGGCTTTTCACAAAGTTCTCAACCTGCAACTACTCATCGGTTAGCTTTCTCTGCCACCCTCAGGGTAGCCTCCCAGTTTAATGAAATGGAATAATATTAATATCAATAAAATAAAGCCAGTGGGAAATGGTAGCTTGCAGCGATAATCATAGGCCAAGGCAACAAGGCCACCAAACCCCAGGGTGGGTCACCCCAAATAAAACCATCTCAAAAACGTATTTCTTTCTTTTTCTTTCTTTTTTTTTTTCTTTTTTGGATTTTCGAGGCAGGGTTTCTCGTAGCTTTTGGTTCCTGTCCTGGAACTAGCTCTTAAGCAATGTAATTCATAAGGAGCCGGGCTAAATTTCCGGCGGTGGGAGAAGGGCGGAATTTCACAATCGTTCTACTGCCGCCCCAGCTTGAGGAAGATGGAAGGTCCTCTGCCCCAGGGGTGCTCTGAGCTTCCAACACGGCTATTTTTCATTTTCTTTTTCTTTTTTTTTTTCATCAACACCTTTAAAAATATATATTTACAGAACAATTCCCCATTCTCTGGGACTCTTAGGAAAAAAGGTCCATTTTGGGGAAGTAAAACAAATAGTGGAGACGAGTGTAGCACCGTCCCCCAAATCACCAGCCCCCAGGTCTTCAGGCCTGGTCTGGGCCAGTGCTGACAGGAGGTGAGCCTGGGAGTTTTTTGAATCCATTCCTTCCAGCCTAGAATTGATACAAGATAGGCTTCATGTTCCCCATTCCTCCCTCCCAACTCCAGGGACACTTAAAAGGGTCCTTTGCACCTGCCCGCAGGAAATTGGGGGGCTGGGAGGGAGGGAGCTGAAAATACACATTTGGTATCAAAAATAAACACTTGGGGTTGGCAGGAAGACCGCCTCCAAATCCCTTACTTCCCACCCACCCGCCTACCCACCCATCAGATATAGGAAGGGATGCTTCCCTCTCCCCTATCGAAAAGCCCCATTTAAAAATAGATTATACTATCAAAATGGAAGAAGACGGGAGACAGAGAGCCCTGGAGTACTGGCTGGAGGGGCCCCCCAGACGGGGACCACCACCCCAAAAAAACCCTCCATTGGGAGGTAATAGGCAGGCCCCCAGGGAATTTGGAGACAAAGGAATGGCTTCTCAGGGGAAGAACAAGAGGACTATTCCTCCCTGACTGAAAGCCTACTTGAGAAAGAACAAGCTGACTGAGAAGGTTGGGGAGGTAGCAATTCCTATGTGAACAGTGTGATTCTTCCTTGGCTACCACTCCCAAACCATAAAGTGCTTCCTGGACTTAGATATGGCCAGGAATAATAAAACAAAACAAACTAGCTCTTCAACCCAGGTTGCAAAATAAAGACAAAGCACCCTCAGCTCCCCAAGGGCAGGCTGAGAAATAAATAAAGGTCCTTCTCAAGCCATACCCTGATTGTCTTATTTTAGGGAGAAAACTGGGGAAGAAATGGGGGAGATGTCTTACCCACTCTCCTAAAAGGGTTAGGCCAGATTCTTCCCAGTGGCCTTCAAAAAATAAATAAATAAACCACGTCTACCATTCAAGTAGGAAACGTGTAAAGGCGGCCACTGGGAGGCTGGCAAAAAAAAAAAAAAAGAAAAAAGGTGTCTATTTTGGGTGGAAGTTAGTGAAAGATTCTCTCTTTCCCAGGAATATCCACCCCACCACGAGCAGAGCATGAGTCTGTCAGTTGAACTGTTTCTCCTTGAGATGGCTAGTTGGAGAGTTGAGGAGCACGGATGGAGGGACTCCAGAAAGGGAGTGGTGGTGGAGTCATGGCTTCTGGGGCCCTGGGGAGAGCACCACGGGGGTCGAGAGGCCATCCACGCTGATGGAAGGGATGTGTACCTGTGCGCTGCCACTGGACGGAAACTGGAAGGAGAGCTTGGCTGGACTACGGGGTGCAATTGGACTCAGAGTGCTCCAGAAGTGAATGCTGGGGGGCAGTGAGCTGGGTGTCAGCAGCACCGGGGTCAAGGTATGTGTGGGTAGCAGGGATGGCGTCAGTGCTGGCCCTGGTGCCTGCAGACCGGAGCCTGTTCCTGATCCAGGAGTCCGTTCAGGTCCTGGGCTACCCAGCAGGCTTGGGCTGAGTGGAAGTTCCAGGTCCCGGGGCTTCCGGCCCTTCTGGGGTTGGGCGATCTCGGCAGAGGCAGAGAGGCCACAAACCTGGGCTGTGTTTTCCATGATGACAGCTGGGACCCGAGCTGAGGGTGAGACTTCTGGTTCCGTTTTGACGGTTTCTGAAGCAAAGCCCACAGCTCCCACTGCTTGCAGTTCTTCCCTAGGTCCCTCAACTTTCACTTCTGGGGGCAGTGGACGGCCGAAACCTGGCTCCAGACTCAACTCTTCTTGTGATTTCTGGTTTGTGGCCTCGGGTGGGGTCAGGATAACCTGCAGGGGCAGACCAGCCTCTTCAGCCTCCAAACAGGCTTCTATGGGGTTCGGACTGGTGCTCCTGCTCCCCGAGGGAGGTGCTGGTACTCCTTCAGGGGTAGTGTTGGGGAGCCCTGAGGCCGGCCTAGGATGCAGAGGTGGTGGTGGCTGTGGCTGCAGGGACTGGATTGTAAAGGTCGAGTAGAGGCCCGAGCGCATGTATTCGTTCCGGCTGCTGCGTGCTAAACCACCTTGGCCTGCCATTCCTGCACCCTTGGGTGTTCCTGGGGCTGCATGGATAGCAGCAGGGGCCATGGCAACAGTCGAGGCTGCAGACGCCTCAGGCTGGGGTGGGCAGTCTTCAGCGGAGCACCCTGCACCCTCTGGGTAGGATACGAACTTGTAGACGAACTTCTGACCGCTCACCTTGCGGATGATATTCTTGTCGTAGTAGTACCGCAACGCCCGGCTGAGCTTGTCGTAATTCATGTTGGTCTTGTTCTTGCGCAGCCCCCACAGACGCGCCACCTCCTCTGCGTCCACCAACTTAAATTCACCGCCATCCCGCGAGGTCCAAGAGATGATGTGGCCGTTCCCCTGTTCTCTCAGAAGCTGCAGCAGAAACTGCCACAGCGTCACCGACGGGTCCATCGCTAGGGACGTGCTCACGCCATTCCAGAGGGACCTGCGTGTGGCGCGGCGGGGGCGGCGGCGGCAGCTCCGGGGGGCGGGGGCTCCATGCGAGGCCCCACCGCCCCCCAGGCCCGGGTTCCAAGGCGGCGGCGGCGGCGGTGACGGCGGCGGCGGCGGCCGGGGAGCAACAGCGGCGGCAGCGGCGGCACCCGGAAGCCGCCCCTGCGTTTCCCGTCCCTATTTTTCATTTTCAAAAGCTTTATTTAACCATTGTGTTCTGAGGCTTTCTTCGGGGCTAAGTATAGAGCAAAACACAACGGCGCCAACCACTCCTGCTGAGCAGAAATGAGCAGTGTTCTCGCCAAACCCTCTCGCGAGTGTTCTTGGTTTCTCTAATTTCTCTGTTATTTTCCAATGTTGTCTACCTATGCCGGAAGTGCTCCTCATTTTGTCCCTCCTAACCCAGCTTTCCTCTTATTCCATTTCTGTTCCCTTTCCACACCTTTACTTTTTGGGGGTTTCAGTTCCCATTCCGAGTTTCCAACTAACTGGGCAGTTGTGGATGGTGAGGGGGTCCGGTCAGCCCGGCCTAGACATGGAAGACTTAGGAGAATGTTGTGACAGGAAAATCACTCCGAGGAAAAGGGGAAATTGCGACCTCTGACCAGCACATCGAGTGCACCGACTAACCCCAACTGTTTGCGATGGTAAAAGGTGGTTCCACATCCTTCCAAAAGCTGATGGAATTGAAAAGATGAGCTAGCTCTCTGGCCATGCAGAAGAAGGGACTTGTGGTAACTATTTTGACTAAGGCTCCAGCAGCCTTAAACTCAGTTCTGAAGAGAGCTGGCGGCAACCCCCCAGTCACTGGCGATGCAGCTCATACACATAGCTGTTCTAGAAGCTCCTCACCTTAACACCGGGCATAGTGTACCGGCATGGCTTCTGATAAAAGCTTCTAAAACTAAAGGAGAGAAGGGAAAAAACAGAAGTGTAGGTTACCAAAATGACTGAGATGTACGAACCGTGGGAAAAGAAGAACTATGTAAGACACCAAAACACAGATGTAGAAGTTCAGAGAATAACATGCAAGATAGATGCTGCCAGAGGCTACACCTGGACATGTTCTGCACAAACTTCAAGGGAAAGTGCAATAAAGATGAAACCTTGAAAGAAGTCAAAAGAAAGTAAGTGACTCGGCTAATTCTTCAGACAGGCGTTGATGCAATGCGCATGCGTAGTCCTCCCATTCTTTCACCCCTTACCTGTAGGGCACTGGAAACAAAAATGAGATCCTTTGGGCTAAAGAGAGGGCTCAGTAGAGAAGAGCACTGGCTGCTACTCCAGAGGACCCAGGCTTGATTCCCAACACCCGCGTGGAGGCTAACAACTGTCCCTACTCCAATCCCAAGCAAAGGACCTGACACCCTCTTCGTGAGTGCCAGGCTCACAGGTGTTAGTCACATAGGCATGTACGTAGGTGAAACTTGTCCCCCCCCCACACCCAGTTTTAACAGAAAGAGAATTAAGGCCATTTTCCCCCTTTGAAACCACGAAGGAGAGAAAAGGAGTAGGAAGAAAATATTTAAAGCACCGACTGAGAAAGACAGACAACTCAAGAGTTTGGAAGAATGTAAAGCCATCCTTCAACAATGAAGGAGAAATAAAGGACGCAGACGTACGGAACTATATAAAGTTACTATTAGATTTGTCTTTCAAGGCATAAGAATGAAAGTTCTGCAAGGGAAAGGAAAATAGTATCGGTTTAAAACTCTGATCTCTGTAAAGAAAGGAAGAGTTTTAGAGAAGGAAGTTTTACTCAAACGTTTAGTTGGTCTAAGAGTTAGCTGTCATTCAAAAACGGCAGCATATCGCTACACAGTCATACACGTAAAATGAACAACCATGATGTTAAAGGGGCAGGGCAGAGGAATTGCTAATATTTTTATTGTTAAACAGTACTCTTACTACTATGAATGGGTATAGTTGATTAATTGAAAGTGAATTCATTATAAATATATACTTCAAATTCAAGAGTACCCACTAAAAACGCTCTAAAGTAATCCATATACCGAGAAGAGAAATATCTTAAGAGTTATATAAAAATGCTCTATTCACAACATAAATGGTGGAAAAAGAGAGAAACCCAAAAGCAGACAGCAAGGGCAACAGATAGAACCAGATACACACATGACAAAGATTAACTATGTCAGCATGGAACTACAGTCATTTCAGAGGCCACCTTCACTAGAGGTCAAAGGCGGTCAGGGCTGGTCTACAAGCGAAAATTTTAAACATCAATGTCACCTATCAGCCCAGGGTTCTTTTTCTCCAATGAAAAAGAAATCACAAAGGAGCAAAAATCAATTATCTTGATATCAACAACCCTGAGCTTTAGAGTGTTGGGACCCTCCCAATCAGTGTTACAGTCCCGGGCTATGGTACCTAGAAGGTACTGTTTTGGCTCCAGCTTAGAGAGACAGAACTCTTGAGTTGTTAGTGTTATAGCTCTGACCTTGGGAGTGTCAGATCCCTTAGTTCTCAGAGTTATAGCTCGGAGTTGAAGATGTTGAAAGCCTCAACTTTTTCTTTTTCAGATCCTCAGTGGCCCTCTGGAATTCTTCTGGCAGTCAGCTTTTGCAGCTCCTCCTCTTTGTAGCCCTTCTTTGCTTTCCACGGCTTGTCTCTTCTCAGCAATGTGTGTTCCACAGCCTCAGCTCTCTACCTTCTACTTCCCTATACTTGGTCTCTCCCCAGTCTCAGGTTCCCACAGCCTCCGCTCCTACCCACTCTCTGATACTGTCAGGTACGTCTGAAGCTTCCGGCCCAGGGGACTGTGTCTGCTGCTCCCGTTCCCAGCTCAGCTCGCTCTACCTGTGATAAAAACCACAGAGGCGTTATGGGGGCTTAGGCTGAAGTGTAAAAGGAAGGGAGGTCTCCCAGCCTTCACCCAGAGTGAGATTACTACTGTGTATGCAAGCAGCCATGCATGGACACCATCTATCATGTCCCGGGGAGGTGTTTCTGCCTGGCCAGATGGACGACTGCCGTGGAGAAGTCTGGACAGATTCCGGTTGAGCATCTGGAGCGGCTGTAGGTTGGGTCATGCAACTGGCATCTGAAGCTGCCACGGCTCAAGTCTCTTGAGCTATTCTGAGCATTTGGAACAGCTGCAACCAAATCAAAGCCTTCCTGAGAAAAGCCACAGTTGGAAGAGTGACCACGATGGTGGCTGTCGTTTCCACAACTGGGAAGAAAAATCTTCTCAGGAGTTTGTGGCTGGTTTGAAGTCTTCTGGGCAGCTTTTCTAGATCAGAGTCTTCCTGAGCAGCTGTGTGGTGGCTATAGCAGCCTGGACCATCAATGATGACTGCCAGGGGTGGAGGGGAGGGGGAATGGGGGAGATGACTACGGGGAAGTGGGGTCTGGGGAGGGGACGGAAGGGGTACTGGGGACGGGGTGAAGGGGGGGACGGGAGGACGGACTGTTGGAGAAATAGCTGCTTCACTGATATCTCTTGTAGCCTCCACAAAGATGGAAGGAATGAACTGGTTGCCTCAGCCCTGAGGGACCTGCAGGAGCTGTAGCAATAACATTCTATAGCTCCATGGGGCAAAGCCTGTTTGACCTGGGAAGTCCCCCCTGTGCTACCTCTGCACAGCTGCCTGCTGGAGCCAACACACGGGAGGAAGCAAATTTAAAGTTTAAAATTAAGTGGAAACATACCATCTGGATTTCTAAAATACTGCGAAAATGACTATCTTACCAAAAGCAAGCTATAGATTAAATGAAATCGCCATTAAAATAAACCCTCATGCCATTCTTTATTTAAATGGAAAGTCAATCTTAACACATATGAAAGCACAAAGGCTCCAGCTAGCCAAACCAATCTTAAGCACAAGGCACAATGCTCTGTGTGTCCCATCATACCTAACTTCAAACTGTACTGCTGGGTCACAGTAACAAAAAGTAGCATGCATCGGCACAAACCCAGAATTGTAGACGAGGATTCCAGAGAGAATTGAGTGGCAGGCTGGTAAGCGGGGGCTTATTAGCCCCGCTGTAGCTGCTTCTGCTCATGTTGGCCATCCACATGCTAGAGCCTAGTTGTTTGGGGAAATAGCGCTACAGATCCCAGACTGCACCATAGCTTTGGGGTGAAGATTCCTATTGTGTGACTTTTCTTGAAGAGACAAAACCCACCTATTTTCCTCAGACAGGACACCCATGCCAACCAAAGAAACCAAGTCTACCTTAGTGAGCCAGTGAGTTTATATTAGGGTTGCTTACAGGAGCAGGGGCGACTCAAAGGCAGCTGTGTCTCCAGAAACCCCATGCGTGACTATGGACTCCTTGCACAACTTGTGTGCATGCCTGCTTCTGCTCACACCCATTATAACCTTGGTCTGGTGGTTGTGAACCTTTTAACTTTCTGAGCTTCCTGATCTTAAGTTTCGTGAGTTTCCTGGACCTTGTCCATCTCTCGGCTTCCTTCCTAAACCTTATGAGTATGGAGGAAATAGCTCCCAAACAAGTGTGTGTCTTATATGTACACTCTTACACCTAGGGCTAAATGTTTTGCTAAATCAAGAATTCCCAAGGCCAGGGCAATAAGAGCAAAAATCTCACTGCTATTCTTCAACACCACTGGAGGGGTCCTGAGTGCGCGGTCATTACGTGGCCTCAGGAAGCGGCTTAACAGCGATACCAAAATGGGGAGTCCGAATCCAGCCACGCCTTAAAAGGCTGTTAGCATACTTACGGTGGTCTGACTCTTAATAGCACTTTTCTTTCCTTTTAGGGGCCAAAGTCAACTGTTCTGGAGTTAGGATAGGCCCTAAATAGTTTACCATTTGTTGGGAAGTTTGAGCCTTTTGAGAAGCTAGTCATAATCTTGTGGTTCCTAGAAATTTCTGAACTTAATATTGTCATCAGAGTCTAATTTTGTAGGGCTGCACATAAGATCACTTATCTTCTGAGGCAAGCCATTATTTTTTAAAGTTATAGTCATCATTTCAAACTGGTGAGGGCTACCTCTGAATTCCTGTGATAAAAATTCATGCAAGTTTATTACATATATGCAATATACATGTTTATTGTGTATTGAGTCTCTGCTCTTGGAATCAAGCAGATATTTTGATTTGGGATATAACAGAAATGTGGTGGTTTAAAGGAGAATGGTCCCAATAGGTTCGTATGTTTGAATGCTTGGTCTCCAGTTGGTGGAACTGTTTGAGAAAATAGGAGGTGTGGCCTTGTTGAAGGGGGCTTGGACTTAGTGGAGGAGGTGTGTCATTGTAGCTACCCATACTTTGGGAGGGATGTTCTGAGTTTTCCTTTTTAAA